GGATCTGGGAAAGGAAGAGAGAAAGCCAACCTTTTTCCAAAGTTAACTATTTTAGAATATTTTCTTCCTTAACACTTTAATGACTAGTTAGTTAAGCATCATTCTATTTTTCTTCGGATCGGTGACGTCTTTCGACCCAAGGGTGCAAAAGTTTTTGCCCATATACTGAAGCAGCTCTTCTGCAATACAAAGGTATAGGAGAGCTTGGGGCACAGCTCTGGTGCGCCTCCAGCGCAGGAAGTGTTTTTGCTCAACACCTCCCACCACAGTGCAGACTGTTTGAGAAAGAGAGAAATGGCGCAAGAAACTTCCTTTTCTAAGACCTGTTTAGCTACAAGGCTTGGCTAACTGCATGTAGCTTTATTCTGCTTTCCCTGCCTCCTTTTTCCATGGATAAAGACATGTAGGACTGATTTAAAGCATGTAGAAAAGGCAAAGAAGAATGAACAATCTGGGATTCACATGGAAAATAATGTAATATAGTGTACTTTTTTTTTAGATGTTTGGTAATTTGCATAGTTGCTCATAAATAAACACATTGTCAGAAAATAAATTGTTTTTAGATATAAAAAAATGATGATATAGCTTCTCCATTATTAAACTGGTACATTATTTTTTTTTTTTTTTTCAGTTTGTGGCATCATATTGGATCATGCAAAACACAGATTTACTTTCACAAAGCATCAGAAGGGCAAGATCTATGTACAAAATGTAAAGCTGTTCATGAAATGATGTTTTGTTTTATAATGTAATTTGTTGTTGGCATTCATATAAATATACTGGAAGATAACTTAGTATAGGTTTGATTGATTATTGGTATACGTCTATTGAATTTATAGCCCTCCCTGGAGAAAACTTTAAAAAAAATGAACATCCAGCTCTCTCATCTTACTGGCCATGATATACACACCTAGGAGGGTCCGAAATAGAAATGATTAACACAGACATGTATGTATGTCAAGGTGTTTTTTTTATTTCTTTTACAGTTTCACATTTCAACTTTTCAGTTTT